TAACCACAGCCTTCCACACCAGTAATTTGGCCAGCAGGGTGTTGGGTAAAAGAGGGATGACATCAACTGTGTGAGCCAAATAACTCTTGTACAAGTGCGGGAGGTGTTAGATATGTTTACTTACACCTGTTACATTGAACCTTACAAGAGAGACAGGGAAGGAGGCCTATACTGTTCGTTCATAGAGGTGTCACTACATCATTGAGCTTGGAAAGCCACGCACTAATGCACTAGCAGTACGTTTTATGGCCTGATGTAAGTGGAGCTGAAAAAGTGAAGAAAGTGAAGACGAGCCAAGGAGGAAAAGGCAAAATATGTCATGGATGCCAAAGTGTAGGACTTAAATGCTACATGCACCTATAAGACAACTAAGTCATCCTTAATCTAGCTCAGAGCTCTCAGTCCTTGTTGGGTTCAGTCCTCTATGAGTAAACTGAATCCCTTGTCATCAAAAAGAATCCGTGGCTCTCATCTCACTTTTCACAGAGGGCAAGAGCCTGAGACAACCCAGAAACTTCGACTGTGTGCTCGTGCATCTTTACATTTCATCAAATAGGTCCCCATGCATATTAATTTTCAGAAAGCATATATGGTGTAAGAGATACTTCTCTCTCTGTGTCACACCATTTACAGTGGTACTACAGGGAACAGCATCTTGTCAATCTCTCTGGTTTCACTGGGCAGGAGCGGGGAATCAGAGCTTCGGTAAGATACCAGCAATGTTTAAATAACTCCAGTGAAGGTCTAACACAGTAGCTGACCTTTTGGATGTGCTTCAAGGCTGATCTGTTGTGCTGGGTATTTGGTCTGGGGATTCAGAGTGGTTACTTGTTGTTTGTGAATTTAAGAAAAGGTGGGTTTTGTGACATTAAAAATGGCAATGGGATGTTACATAATCCTTCCACTGCAGTCATTAGGTATTTTTTGTGTGGGTATTTTAGGATATATCATAGAATCATAGAATAGTTTGGGTTGGAAAAGACCTCCAAGATCATCAAGTCCAACCCCTGATCCAACTCCAATTACTATATCATGGCACTAAGGGCCACGTCCAATCTCTTTTTAAAAACCTCCAGGGATGGTGAATCCACCACCTCTCTGGGCAGGCCGTTCCAGTGCCTGATTACCCTCTCTGTAAAGAATTTCTTCCTAACATCTAACCTAAACCTCCCCTGGCAGAGCTTGAGCCCATGCCCCCTTGTCCTATTGCTGGTTGCCTGGGAGAAGAGACCAACCCCCACCTGGCTATAACCTCCCTTCAGGTAGTTGAAGAGAGTGATAAGGTCACCTCTAAGCCTTCTCTTCTCCAGACTAAACAACCCCAGCTCCCTCAGCCTCTCCTCATAGGACTTGTGCTCAAGTCCCTTCACCAGCCTCGTTGCTCTTCTCTGGACCTGCTCCAGCACCTCAATGTCCTTCCTGAACTGAGGGGCCCAGAGCTGAACACAGTACTCAAGGTGTGGCCTCACTAACGCAGAGTACAGGGGAAGGATCACTTCCCTGCTCCTGCTGGCCACACTGTTCTTGATGCAGGCCAGGATGCCTATGTTAAAGCACATAAAATCTGGGGACCCAAATATTTAAATACAGAAAAAGTATATCCATACAATATGTAATTTTTCACTGTTTTTGTGTTTACCTACCTTGTTATGCACATGACAATTGCAACTATAATGGCAATCTGTACAGCTCCAATTATTGCTGCAATAAGGACATGCGTAAGCTTTTGTCTACTTGGGACAACATAAAGAATACTAAAGTCTGTCTTTTCACAGTGCTGTCCAGTATATCCTGATTCACACCTGAAAAACAAAAAGGAATATCTCATGGAATCTGTAACTTTACAACAACCCAGTCATTTTGCAGATGAAATAAGGAGTCCAAGGTGACTCCAGCTGAGAAAGAGCTGGTGAGAAGGTGAAGGTGTGGTAACGCTTGGGTAGGGGAATGGTTCGGATTTCTGTGGCAAGAGAAGAGACCAAGCAGGTATGCTCTGCTTTTCTGGGTAAGGTTACTAGCTGCCCCTCTGAAAACACACCAGTCTGGTGAAGTTCCTGATTTGGCAAAATAAATATGTGGGGTCATTATTAAGTTGCTGCAATATTAAGGAAGAATAAAGCAACTAGGTGAAACAAATAGACAAGGCTAAAGGAAATACAAAGGAGCAGGCTCACGAAACACAAAGTGAGCATGCTCGCTCAGCTGCAATGTCAATATGGGAGAGGAGTGACGAAAAGGAAGAGAAACCCTGAAAAATGGAGGAAAAGGAAGATCCTTTTTCAAGCCACGGCCTATGGATGTGGAATCCTGAAAAACATATTGGACAAGACCAGCATCAAACCCCCTCCTGCCTTACCAAAGTTTGATTGCGTGCCAATGGCACGCAACTGTTCAAGTGAGAGTTCATGGAAGAATCCACGAAAATTGGCGAGGGTTGGGGAAGAAATGGCTGGAGACAGAAGAGAAGCGGCTGCTCTAAGTGGTACCTTGCGTGAGCAAAGCAGCAGTTAGCTCAATGAGAAACTCAGCAGAGGCTGCTCCTGATCAGCGACCCATGTTCAGGGAATGTGAGATGAGCCAGTGGTGAAGGTGGCAGTGGAAGCATGCTCTGGAACAATTAATGTCTCAAGGGAAGAGAGGCTGAAGCACAACAAGGAAAGGCAAGAGCCACCCAAGACAATGAGTTGGAGTCTGCAGAATCAAAGGCCACCGCTTACATCCCTGTGCAAGTTCCTTGTACAGCTATCCTTTAAAACCGACTGATGCAAATGCATCATTAAGGGCAACTGAATCATTCAATTGGCCTCCAGCTCTATAGTACAAAGCTACTGAAGAATTACTCACACACAGGCAGAGAAACAACCCTTTTGAAAACTGCGTCAGGTAAGCCTGAATGCAACACAGAATCAGTCTCAACTATTCAAAAGCTTTGTGCTAGGGTAGGAATTAATTCTGCTTGGAGGAATGAAATAATTGCACCACAGAATTTTGCTACAATTGCTAACACAACTCCTAATCCGCCTTTGCATGCGGGGAGAACGGTTGGGGTTTACATGTTCGTAATCTTGTGACTCTGCTTTCTCCAGGTATGAGCTGCTGTGTAAGGAGTTTTGGTTCAGGCATGAAACAAGTTCCAGTAGGAGCAGAGTTGCTGAAGAAAAGCCCCTATGTACTGTAAGTAAGCATGGCTAGGAAGGGAATCAAGAGAAACACATATTAGCATATGAGAAGGAAGAGGAAGGGAACACATTAGTAGTCATGCAAAAAGAAACCGTAAGAAAGAGGACTCCTTGCTAGTGAAGAGGATTGAATTCTTATTTGGTACTTCACTTTTGTTTTCATTAAAGAAGGTAACAGTTAAAGTCTTATCAATGTGAGAATTGCTTTAAAGCAGAGGAGGTAAAACAAAGCAGAGGAGGTACAAGTAATTCAAAGATGTTTCCTCAGAAACGCTGAAGTGACAGGAAATTATTCCTGAGAAATACTATTTCTGAGAAATATCTCCTGAATGGAGAATCAGGAGTACTGAATTCCTGCAAAGAAGAAGTGCATGTCTTAAGAACATGGGATGTTGTGGTGGGATGAAGTACTAGGCGCTAGTTTAAGCTACCTTAAGCTAGCAGAACAGATTTTAAAGCATTCTACTGCGTTAATATATAGCAAGACAATAAAGCATTAATATATTAGCAAGATAAACAGAAGTCAGCATGGATTTATCAAAATATGCTGATCAATCAATTAATTGAGCTAGCAAAAATAAGTTTATATTTCTTTGCAAAGGGTTGAACTGTGCATCCTTGATGCAGCCTGTCATAAGGACAGGGCAGAACTGCACTGCACAAGGGGGGCAGCAGGAGATAGACCAGATCCCAGCTGTGCAAAGGCTGCTAAACTAAGTATTGTACTATTGACTACTACAAAACTTTCCTCCCACTTGCCTGCTGGCAGTCCTGGAGGGCTGCTGTACAATGAGCAAGGAGATGCATTGCCCTCAGTGAAAGGAAAAGTCAGAATTTGCTCTGCACAGGTATTTTCTGCAGTTTTGTAGGTCAGCTGATACCTCACATATATCACTACCAGGAAACGAGGACCAAATTAAACAATGTATATACTAGATGGGTATGAGAATGCAAAGCATTTGAAAATAAAATTCTACCCCTAGCTTTCATAATTATATTTTCCTTGCCACAGAAAGAGATTTTTTTTTTCCTTTGGTAGAAGTACATGATTACTATGGCAGATTGCTGTCTGATATAAATAATTTGTTTCCTTAATAACTCTGTTCCAGAATAGAATTTAAAGGGACAGTACATTACTAAATTCATCAAATCACTGTATATCAGAAATTATTAGAGTAATGATAAATATTTAAATGACTGAATAGTAGTTGAATCATAAGTGAATAAATGACTATATGATTAGCGCCATCTAGAAAAAAATTCTAAGAAATAAAAAAATCAGTTCAGTCAGTCAGGCATGTTTTCCTTGAAATACCTCTACTTTGAATATTTTGAGGACAAATCCATCAGAAATTGTGTTAAACACAGCTCTAGATCAAAATAATACTGTATCAAATAGTGCTGCCTAATGCCTATCAAGATGACATTGGGGATGTTTCCCAAGAGAAACAAAGCCATGTTGAGCTCCCTTGATTCTAGCCAAAGAAACGAGAAAAAACAAGTAAGTCCTAGTGGAAAGGTGAAAATAAACAAGAAAGGGTCTCGGATGGGAAAAGGAATAATATAACCTTTCAAATGCTGTATGTTGACAACTATACTGGCTCTGCCTTTTGGGCTTCCTGCTCCCTGGTCATTCCGGAAACCCTTAAATCTTGGCAGTGGAAAACCCCCTAAATATCACGATCAATAAAGATCAAGGGAGAAAACGTGATAGCATCTAATGGATTCACAGTTGAAGTTTCAAAGCAAACTAAAGCAAAGAGTTATAGCATCTTCAGCCATATTGATCTGAAAGTACAAGCCTGCAAGATGAAAGTTCAGGAGTGAAACCCCCTAATAAGTAGGGCATGGATGTCATTAAGAAGAAGTGTCTTTTTTTCTATAAACAAATTTTAAAATTAATTTTATTTTTTAAAGAAAAAAAAGAGGCAGAATTCAGTTGGTGAAATGTGAAGAAAAAAATTATTTGGGAGCCAAGGAAATAACATTGAACTTTCAGATTTCCTGAGAAACACTGAGTGGCTTAAACTGCTAGATTATACCATAGACAAAAAACGTGGGCTAAAGAATATTTTGTAATTTTACACTCCCTAGATGAAGCCTATAATTGTAAAAAAGGGCAACAAATGTTAAAAATAAGATATTGATACTCCAGAGAGAGTTTATGGCAAGAGCAATAAAACGTATAGATAGCATAAAAACAGACTGTGAGGTCACTGGGGAAAGAGCAGCCATACAGAGAAGCCATGTAAGGCAAATGCAGGTTTTTTGTGTTTGTTTGTGTTTTTTTTTTTCCTCTCTAGATAGGATTTAGCAGCTGAAAATAAGGACACAACACAGAAGCCACACTCCTCAGAGGGATTCAGCTTCTGAACTACCTGACTGACTGAGCCTCTCCTCTGAGCGTTATCTCCTGCATGACTGGAGCAGTTGGGTGCTGCCCAAGCACAGGGATACGGCTCCTGTGCCACTGCTTAGCTAACTGCAAACTGACACATGCTGTAGTTATTTCTAGAGAGCATTTTGATTCAGCTTTACAGCAATTTCAAGCACATTTTGGAGGCATGCAGGACTTACCGGCAGGAAGCCTTCTGAGTGGAATAAATGAATTCACATTTTCCATGTATACAGTAGCCGTTGAAGCTTTCTGAACAAGGTATGTGGTTTCCGATGTAAATGTCTTCTCTCTGATCACTGGCATCTTGAAAAGAAATATACATAAACAATTATAAATTTATTATATTCATTTAAAAATCTCAACCAAGATTAGCATACCCTTAAAATCTTGTAGTGAATAAAGGAATACAGAATAATAAAGCAAGGCTTAAGGGTAAAGTTTCAGAGGAACCTACAGAGATTTGCTAGGATGTACTGCACTGAAAAATAATCCTTGGAGACATCTAAACACGCTTCTCATGTCAGGTTTCACAGAAGGAAAAAACTATTCATGACAGAAACAAGCCAATGCAGGAAGATCAGCAGAAGTTTTGTCAGTGGCATTTGGGCAAAGAGCTAATACATAGATACAGAGAGCTCTCTCCCATGTTTAAACAGAGGGAAAAAACCCGAAGGGTTAGAAAGAAGCTAAACCACGTTTTACGACCACTGAGTAGAAAGCAACTTGACAGAGCCCAGGTCTGACTGATACCATCTGTTGTTACAGCTGAAATCAAACACACTAAAATAGCAGTCTTCCTCAGAGAAACGCTTTTATGGAGAGGGAGTCTCAAAATATTGAAATGAGCTTAAAATACCCACTTCTTTGGGAGTGTACTGGGTGTGGCTGGGATGGAATTAATTTTCTTCAGAGCAGCCCATATGGTTCTGTATTTTGAATTTCTGTCTGAAACGGTGCTGATAACACACCAGTGTTTCGGCTGTTCCTGAAGGGTGCTTGCACAGCACCAAAGCTTTCTCTGATTCTCACTGTGGCACCTAAGCACATAGGCTGGGGGTGGGCAAGAGGCTGTCAGGGGACACAGCCAGGACAGTTGACCCAAACTGACCAAAGGGATATTCTGTACTGTATGACATCATGGTCAGCAAAAAAAAAAAGGGTTTTGGTCTTTCCAAGGTGGCCATTGCTCAGAGACTGGCTGGGCATCAGTCTGCTGCTGGGACACCGTGAATTATGGCTTTTGCATCTCTTAAAAAAAAAATTTCCCCCTTCACTGCTTAAACTGCCTTTATCTTGACCATTGAGTTTTTCTTGTGTTTGCTCTTCTGATCCTCTTTCCCATCCTGCTGGGGGAAGGTGGGGGTGAGGAAGCATCTGGTGGGTGCTTAGTTGCTGGTGGGTCAGCCCAGCACAGGAAGGCACAGGAAGGCAGTCCCTTCTGCCCCAACATCTTTCGTGCTTCTGTCATGGTACTGAAAATATCTAAAGCTGTGTACATTTTCAACCATTCTTTCCTCAAAATTTTTCTGTAAAATGTCCTAAACACAGAAGTTGGTATTTCATAATGAACTTCTCCAAAGAGCATGGATCTAAAGATGTGAGTGTAATTGTGGAATTATGTCAATTTCTATGGTAATAGACTACAGTGTCACAAATACAAGATTATAATGAACTGCAGGTGCAAAGCAAAAAGGGACTGTGAGGAAGAAATCTCTTATACAATTGCAGATATTTGAAGTAACACCAGCAGGAAAGAGAATGTATGTATACAAGAAAAAAAAAAAAAGGCATGCTGCTGTTTTAGGTTTTCCCTGAACATTTTCTGTAATGTTTTCTAATTTGTTCCAGAAGAAAAAAAAAAAAAAAACACTATTAGAGATTTGAGATATAAGGAAGCTTGACGGTTTCAGGCTATGCTTCAAAGATATAGAAGACTTGATACAAGGGAAGAACATTGCCTAATACTGACGATACATCCAACACTGCCCTATTGGAGTAGATTTATGTTGCAGCACATCTAAGAGGGAAAAGTGCAGATGGCTCATCCCAAAACTGTAGCCTCCTCCAAGCAGTTAATTACTGTTGAACCTGATCCTAATCAAAGGCTGGTAATAAGTTGCATACAATTACATTAGTCTGTTCAGATAGCTGCACTATGCCTGGATTTAATGGATGCACTAATACAGAGTGTGAGGCCCAGTGAAAGATGCATTCCCTGAAAGGCAGCCAGGTAGTCATGGCCACTTGAGTCAGAGGCAAAATTTGCACTAAGCAAAGAGATGTTGTTAAATGCAGAAGGTGATTCCCAGTGTAAACTAGATATTTACCTGCCTATTGATGGGAAACCATTTTTATTCTGAGGCCTGCTAGACTGCTTCAGTGCTTCAAAGTGAAAGATTTAATTGGTGTAGGAGTCTTGAAAGAATGATTGGATATAAGAGTTCAGATACTTCACCAGAAAGAAGAGGTGTGCACAAAACCTGAAACCCTGATGCTCATCTTGGTTTGACAAAACCAGCAAGACAGCTGAATCTGGGAGAGACATTTTTAGTGTATAACTTTAGGTATACACTTGCATTTCAGGAGAAGGAGACTGTCATGGCTGTGGTTCTAGAGACTAGAAGGTATTATACATTCAGAGAACAGGGTTTAACAAGATTAACTGACAGGAATTTAAAGCAAAAGCAAACATAAAAGTGTAGACTGTTCTCTTATCCTGGAAGAAAAAGTCATTCAAAGTAGTTCAGTTCAGGCTCTCACTGTCTAAGAAGACCCGAGTACTTAATAAAAAAATTGCAAGACTATTTTTTTGCACAAGGCCTATTCCCTCTGTGTACATCATGTGCCGAACTTGAGACTGCACAAGCTATGCACATTAATAATAATAATTATATACAATGTTTTTTCCACTAACTAGATTTCAAGAGCAATTTATATGCAATGAATAAAAGGCTGTAACTTCCTCTGAATAGGAATGAAAAGTGGTGTTTCATTACATCACATAATAAGATGTATATTCCATTTGGTGCCTTTTATGCCTCATAATGCAAGTGAAAATTGACATTAAATCATTCCAACTGGTACATTATATGGAGCGACAGTAAGAGAATTAGTGAAAAAAGAAAAATATATGGAGCTTTTTGGCACTGAAAGGCTTTTCAAGAGGAACACAAGGGTTGCCAAAAGGCATTGTCTCTAGAAGGCCACGGGAGTGCGCAACTAATATAATAATAGAAAAAAAACAAAGAACAGAGCTAACAGAGAAGAAACCAACCCCTTGCAACATAACTTGCATTAAGCCCAGCACCAAGAAGAAACAATGGTGAGTTATGGTCAACGGTGATTCGCTCCTGTGCGGAACAGAGCACCCATTTGCAGACTGGACCCTTTGGCTGCCTCCCTGGGGCCTGAATTAGGGACGCCACCACAAGACTGAAGAGCTTCGTACAACCTTCAGACTACTA